CAAGTTGCGGAAAGGACGGACCGACGGTTGGGGAAGTGCTAAGGTGAACGCACGTATGAACGGAACATGTTGTCCGTGCGGCCCACCAACGCGCCATTGAGCCAAACCGACGCCACCGTGTCCACGCCGTCCAGAATCAGAAGGACTTGTCGCTTGGACCTGAGGGGTGACGACACATTTATGAAAGCGGGCGGCTCCATTAAAAAAAAAAAAATCAAAATTCAGTCTGACATTTATAAATATATTTTTCTAAACTATTTTGTATTGTTGTTTCAGAACAGTGTTTTAATTTTTTGTTTAAATGTTGCATGTGTTGCATTTTTTAAACCATTTTGTGAACTTGATCCAAGCAAAGCATGCATTGTGATCTCAAAAGCTGATATATTTGTGTACTCTAAAAACCTCATCTTAATATTTTTGCATTTTTGTATGATTTTGAGTCTAATATTTGGTTTATTTTGAAATTATATATGAATTATATTGAAATATTTTTGTCTTTGAGTCAATGTATTTGTTTTCTCAAAAATTTAGCAGTTTTTTGGTCTAATTTGTATGATTTTTTTTATTAAATTTTTTTTTATTTATCCAATTGTGTATTTTTGTATTATTTTCTATATTTTGTGTATTATTTTCTATTATTGTCACATTATTTGAAAAAACATTGATCATATTTTGACAGTGTAATTTCAGAATGATTTTTGGCTAATATTTTCTATTTTTGACTGATATTTTTCTATTTTTAAAATTGTATTATAAATTCTAAATATTTGTAGTGCAATATTAGTATTGTTTTCTAATATTTGAGTGCTTTTACATTTAATATCTTGAATGTATTTTTTTTTCTAGTATTTTCTTTTTCTATAATCATCGACTTGTGTGCTTTTCTCGGCAGACCTCAGCTCTTTGGACACTGCAAACGTGGTGGCGTACGTCCAATTGTCCAAAGAGATCCACTCGTACAGAAGGTCATTGAACCGGAAGTAAGGATCCTGCAAGATGCATCGAAGGCGGTTGACACATTTTTTTCCCCTTTAGAGATGAAAATAATATTGAGAATGATATTTTTAAATTAAAGAGGCAAAATAAGAAATCTAAGAACTGAAATTCAAAAATATTCATGTGAGCGGGGCATAGAAAACTACACCAGAAGCAAGGCAAAATTACCTTAAAATAGGAATGAAAATAATTGTCATTTTAGGTGTGACACAGGAAATAAATAGCAACATAAAAAAACGCTCGAATCAATAAAAGGGGGTAACACAATTGACGTACTGTTTTGGAAATGAATTGGGTTTTCTCGCGTGAGTTCGATTCTGTTGACCAAAAACGTGTCCCATGACACACACGCACGACTTTTGGGTTTCATTCTTTTCGAACTGACCTGAATTAACCCTCGCTGCTGCAGCGCCGTGTGGACGCATCCTGGGACTTGGGCGGGCAGAAAAAAGGACTTGTTCGAGTTCCACAAGTTCCATTCACCGTCCAAACTTTGGACGAGAGGTACGATACCATCGTGGCTCAAAACCTCCAGAAGTCCAAGTGATAAAAACAAGAAGAAAAAACCGCGTACAATCATCACTCCTCCGTTAAATCGCTCTCATCGTCAAGTCGTTTCTTCCGGACTTTGGTCACGTGACCGGATTTCGATTTCTACACGCGATATGACTCGCCCCTTTTCAATGTGATTGGCTGAGGACCTGCGCCAATTTGATACACATCTCAAAAACAAATACGATGACGTACAGTCCAACACTAAAATCTCAAACTGCAAAATATGTCTAATACTTACAGAAGCTGGGTAAAAACTAATGAAAACACCATAAATCAAGATATGAAAATAGACAAGAAAAACAAATATAAACAACGTCCGAGCATATTAACAAGGGTAAATGGGGGAAAAAAAATCCCTGACAAAAATGACTTGAAACACTTAGTTTCTTCACAATTTTACACAAGCGCCATCATATACACGTCTGGGGGGGGGGACACAAACATCTGCACATTTAAGGTTGAAGTAACTTTATTGAAGGGGGAAACTAAAAACAGCCGTG